AGCGAGCTTCCACTTACAAGGACTCTGTATGGAAATAGGTGGGCGGTTGGCTGAAGAGATCAACGGAATTTTCCTCCTGCTCTGTGCCTTCTCTGTTCCCACCTCTGGGGATTCTTGAAGATATGGTGGGAAATGTCAGCATCAGATGCAGGACTCTATCTGTCCCCAGGTCACAGGATTCACCTGGGATTTTGGCAAGACATGCCAGGTCTCCACGGTTTACTTTTAGAGTCTGGAAGGTGGACAGACAATCCACAATTTGTAAGAAAGTGGACAGACAATCTCTCTGCAGAAGAGAAAGGGCCCTCTCGGGCTCCAAGATGCAGTCCCAGCGTGGCTCAGGCATGTGTTAAGAGGTAAGTCCTGACCCTCCGTTGCAACAAGGACTCTGAGGAAAGCCATGATTGTGTGTTTTCTGGAACTGTCTTCCTCCTGCTTCACAGGAGGCTTCAGCCCTGTTAGGAAAAAGACAACGCAGAGGAGGAAAGTGGCCACGAGATGGCAGCAGAAGGTAAGAAAAGGGAGTTGCAAGCATCACAGGGAGAGGCTTGCTGCCCCTCCATTTTGCTTTACATCTTTAATGAGATATGTGAAGAAAATGAGTCCCTTACATGCCACACACAGATGCTACAACATATGGAGAGATGCCGCACAGCAATATTTCTCTGGTTATTAAACAGGAGGCACCTAACCAGTCATTCACTGCATCATCATGCCGAGCTGTCCTTTGTGTCCTGGATACTGCTGTTGACAAGGTAATAACAGGAGAAAGCAGTTGAGAAGACTGATGTGCAGACCTGGGCCTCTGGGCTTGCAGCTTCGCCAAGCCAGGATGCTGGCTGGATTGCCAGGAAGCAGGAGCTGCCCAGCCCAGCGGGGCCACCTTGCCAAGGGGCACAAGCCATGTGGCTTCTGCTGCAACTCAGCCCAGGCAGGGCGCGGACTGCTCTCTGGTCTCCCTGGCAGCCCCCGAGGGCTCGCTTGTTAAGAACCCGATTACCACCAGACAGCTCTGGAAGCTGACCTTCCAACCACAAACCCCAAGTGGGAACGGGAGCTCTAGACATTTTAAAGAACAAGACACGCTTGCTTTTCTGGCAGCACTGAAGGCATCCAGGGTAATGAAAATGCATTCAGGGACTTCCATGGTGGTCCCAACGCTAAACCTCCGCACTCCCAGTGCGAGGGGCCCAGGTTCGATCCCTGGGCAGGGAACTAGATCCCACATGCCACAGCTAAGACCCGGAGCAGTCCAACAAATTTTAAAAAAGAAAAACGCATTCAACTGCACACCGATGGGGAATCCATTTCCCATGCCTCCCCAAGCAAAGGTTGGGAATCTAGTCCTGGTAACCAGGAACGTTTTCCCTTGGCGGGCATGTCTCACATATTCTCCTGGGAGACTGCTATCAGGGCTGGGGGCAGGCAGGTATTGCTGTATTTTTTTTACTATATGCCAATCCCATACCCACTTCCATGCCCTGTGTCCAACCACCCCCGCTGATCATTCCACACTAATTTCCCCACTCTCTCAAACCCAGGGGCTCCTGGAAGCCTCAGTGGTGACTGAGGAACTGAGAACAGGTGAGTCAGCCCAAGCAAGCAGCCCACTCCACGGCGCAGAAAGAGACTTGTCATCCACCCTAAAGTCCAAACTCCCAGGACTTCTCAGAGTCACTCACGAAACCCATCAACAGTCCTGAAATGAAGGTAAATAATACAGTCATTTTTGATACAGAGAAACTGAAATGCACAGCTGACGTATGGCTTTGGCTCTCCTAGTTCCCATCCCTTTCCTATAGGTCTGAGCCTCTGAAGTTCCAGTGGGAATGTAATAATAGCAAGGTTCACACCGCCGCAATTCCCCTCCATCTTTCAGAAAGATTCTATATGCTAGAAATCCTCACAGGTCTGTGTGACCTTCCACAAGTCGCTTAACCTCTCTGTGCCTCAATTTGCTCATCTGTAATTTGAAGGGCTAGCACTGGATGGGGACTAGGGCCTCTTCCGGCTCTTCGATCCTGGGGCTTTAATTTCTCCAGTCTCCGCCAGCCATCTCCAACAATAGCCAGACTCCACAGGAGGGAGCAGAATTTCCTCCTCGGGCTGATAAGAAATGTGGTCGGCTGGAGTCTTGTCGACCTCCTTTGTCCTCAGAACAAAGGAGACCGGGAGGTTTCAGATGTTACTGACACTAACAGCAGTGGGGCCTGGAGGCGACCACACTCCTAGGGAAGGACCACACAGAGTTGTCCCCGTGGGCGGTGCAGATCCAGAGTCAAGACCCCAGGATGTTTTAACAACTATTTCTCAGTGGGGAAAAAAAAAAAAAAAGACTCGTTTTATTCTGCACAAGGGTCTAGGGACAAATCCAAGTCTCCCAGGAGGAAACTCCTCTCGCCTATAATGGGGGATTGGCTCGGCTCAGCTGCACTGACAAAGACTGAATACAGCATGCAGTGGTGCGGGCGGCTCCCTGTAGTTCCATGTGAACATGACTCACAGCGGTTATGAATATCAAACCTCCTTTGATGTGTTCCCGGACATGAGGAGCAGCCACAGGGGGGAGGAGGTGGACCCTGGATGCCTGCTCTGCGGGGCAGTGTGCAGAGGGCCTGGACACATCTGGCAGCATCCTGAAGCTCCAGGAGAACTTGGGGCGGGTAAACTCCCTGACAGCAGCATTCCCTTCCATCCATCCCTCTCCCTCTCTCTCCCTCTCTTTTTCTTCCTGTCTCCAGCTACAGAAGAATGAGATCCTCCAAGAATTATGACCTGTTTTTATACCTTCACCCTTCCCGGGGGGGATAACAATTCACTTCCCTGAATAAAACTGGTTTTATTGAGCACAGAATGAAGGCACCCCCTCACTCAGCATCTGTGCCAATTGCTTTAAAGCCATAGTCTTGGCCCCAGTCAGCCAAGCAGAAGGATTTTCCTCCGTTAAGGCCCTTTCTAGACACTCAGCCTTTCCAGTGCTGCATGGTACCTTGTTCTCCTAGTAGGTTCCCAGTGATAACTGAACACCAAGCTTCCCAGTCTCTCTCGTTCTTGTAGCTCCCAAGACTGGGTCAATTACGACCATCCAGAGCAGGAGACCGAGCCCTGCCAACTACAAGGTGAGCGCCCAGACTGTATCAAGAAGAGAGGATCAGCCACCTCGTGTCTGTTTCAGCTGAAAGCTTTTTCACATGTGGACGGTTCTCCCATTTCTAGACAGGGTTCAAGAACAGGTTTGGTCCCTGGAAATTTGAACAAAGACTTTACAGTTATAGGAGGTGGCAAAGGGTAAACGGGAAGGGAATATGTTCATCTCCATGCCTGCATGCTTTTGGTTTTCTGAAATGAGGCTGATTTATTTCGCAGCTAAGTTGGACTTTGACTGAAAAATTCTCATGTGCCCAGAGATCTCATGCATATATACACATGGAAATAATAAAATAACTACTCTTTACTGAGCACTGACCTCGTGCCATGCACAATGCCCAGGGCTGCACAGGCACCAACTCTCCAAATCTTCACAGATGCTCTGCCTGGGAGCAAGGAGTGGGAAGTAGGTATTAGTATCCTTGGTATACAGATGAGTGGCCCAAGCCTCTGAAAGGCTAGGAATTCTTCCCAAGATTGAAAACTTAAAGTAAAAGGGCTTGGATTCCAAAGCATCGTCTCTTAACCACTGTGCTATGGCGCAATATGCTTATCACCAAGGGCCCTGCATTATGAAGGAGGGCAAGGAAGGCACAGTTCTTGACTTCAGAAAGCTTCCGTTTAACTACATGGCAGCACACACAGAGCTACACACATATGCACAGTGTTACTGTGACTCATGTTGTCTTCTAAGAGCCCTGTAGCTAAAATATTCATGTTCCATCTTCATTATCTTGCTCTCAGACTCCTGCCCTGGATTCACAGATTGAACTTTGTTCCTGTAGTAAAGACTGGAGTCTTCTACAGTAGGGTTGTGGATGCTTGGATTTTAGAGGCAACAGTGTGAGCAAGTCAACCACCAAGATGCATTATGCTACCGTTACTCAGCTCCTGAGCTGTAACTGTTTGTCTGGTATTGCTTTTTCCATCTGATCAGGAAGTTTCTCTAACCCATTTCTCTCTTCAGGGGAGTAGGGGAAGACAGCAACAAGGGTAGGGGCAGGGAAGATTTCAGGCTTGAAGATTCAGGAAGCCAAGTCATAGATCAACTAGAAGAAATGAAGCAGGGGGAGATTCAGGGTACAGTGAAATTCCATTGCTTCCATGACCTTGAAAGGTAAGCGATGATATATCTAGAGGACACCGCGTGCTAAGATGTGCTAACATAAAAGGAAGGGAACCTTGCACTAGTTGTAGACTTTGCCAAGCACACACTGGCTGCCAAGACTACTTCAGCCTTGACTCTTAGATCCGTGATCTGGGACATGGGACAGTGTTCTACTGTGCTGGACATCTTCCAGTGACATTGACCCAATAGAGGGCTGGGAGGAAGATTTCTTGCTTCTAAGAGAGAGAAATTTCCCTCCAAAGTAGAGTTACTGAACTGCCCATATGTAGGATGTGGGGAGACTGAGAATACTTGAGTCCCAGGAGACATGCTGAGGACAGATGTGTCTTCCTACGGGCTAGATCCTTTTGTAAATCTAATGTTTGGAGAATTTGCCTCTGATTTCATTTCAGGAGATTTGTGCTTGTTCCCTGACTGCCCATCAACCTGAAAAATAACAACTCTTGATCAAAGCTTTCTGAGAACCTACACCAAAGAGGATTGAGAGGACTGGAGTTGCATCTCTGGGCGATCACTGTCCCTCCAGTATCACTGCACTTTCTACACCCCAAGGCAGCCTGGTCATCTTGTCCCCCAAAATTCAAATTGGAAGACTAACATGGTTTTGATTCTAGTTCTCTCTACACATACAACTCCAGGTGCCTGGTCATTAATCAATCTTAATTCTCACTTTAATTTCTCAACTGTGGCTTCCAATTCCTGCTTTTCAAACCTCATCCAAAGGAGTCATTCCTCGTCCCCTGATGAATGGGCAGGCACCTCAGAAACTCGCTCTCGGAATCCGTGGTTCCCGCATGCCTACATTTGACCACTGGAGGGCAGTGCTGGACCAGCCAAATCTCTAGGTGCGCTGCTCCATCTTCGTCCCCACCTGGGCCGTCATTGTAGAATATAGTCTCTGGTTGGAAGTCAAAACCAAAGACCACTGGAGCACCTGAGAGCACAGCACGGTGAAGCCTATTACAGCAGCTCCTCCAAACCTGGGTCATAGAAATAAAAGGCAGTTCACCAGAAAGCAGATTTGGCTCCAATCCCCTGGGAAAGATTGAGATGACAATTTGCCTCATCGTGTCATTAATCAGGAACCATCTGTCTCTCTGAATGGGGATGCAGAGTCCTACCTATCTCTACCCACTCAGGTGTAAGCTCCTTGAGGGTAATGTCTTAATAAGCTCTATATTCCCGGCAGTAAACACAGTGTTTGACAATAAATGTTTGTTCAATGAATGGGTAGAAGAAGCATGCATACATATATACGCATAAATTGGAATTGGCCATTTTCAGATATGTTGCTGTTTTCCAGCTCTTATAACACCTAAACTTTAAGGCATCAATTAGTTGCTGTGCATTTTTAGTCCTGAAGACAGCCAAGGATAATTAGGTTATTAATTAAAGCAGTGGTTGTCATTGTACAAACGCTATTTCAAACACCACTTCAAGAGTTTCAGATCTCTTACTTTCAGAAGTCCTTCGTTATATCACCCATGTGTCCTCAGATCTCATCAGCCTGTGGATTACAAAATACTGACATTGTTTCATGAATATTCAGTTTATAACTAGCGGGCTCTATCATGGTCATGTGGAGCATCCATTCTGTCCCCAGGGGACTTATGATCATTTCATCCCACCATGGGTCCCCATGGGGCTCCACAACTTCACTGAACCAGAACGTTCCTTCAGGCCCCCTTGTGTCATCCCACAAGACCCTTCTCCAGGCTGCTGTCCCCTCTGCCTACTGCCAATGGATTCCACCTGGCGATGGACACAGCCTGCTCTCTTAATCATTCAAAGCACAGCTAAATGCTAGAAGAGAGAAGGAAATGCACATTTTAAGACCCCAAACCCAACCTCTTCCTGTCTCCCTGCAGACTTCCACATAGCAGGGACCAGTCAGTGCCTCAAGTAAAAATCTACAGGCCTCCCACATCCTCATGTGTAGACTCCAAAACCAGCTCTTTTGCTGCCCTGGGATGACCGACAGTGAGACACACTACTCCTTCCAGGGAAGCTCTTCACCAACCCTCCACCATCTCAGATAGAGGCTGGTCTTCATGGCCCAAAAAGGCAAAATTGGTGTTATTAGGTCTTAAAATATAATGTATGAGACACCAATAGCTTTGACTATATTCATATTTGGAGGAAAATATGCCCTCCATTTCTAACTTGAAAGATACAAATTAATTTTTCTTAACAGAATACTTTTTTAATTGATTTATTTTTAATTGAAGGATAATTGCTTTAGAGAATTTTGTTGGTTTCTGCCAAACAACAGAATATTTTCTGTCTTAGTGTACATCTGAATTAAGTTGTATGCGGACTTCATAATTTTCCCCAACAATGAGTGGATATTTGTTTTAGATGTGAATAAACTCATTCTCAGCCTTACTCTAGTTTTCTCAACAACAGTGCTCTAAGTTCATCTAGTGTCTCTAGTCTACCAACAGAACCCTCTCAGCTTCAACAATCTTCAAGGATCAGTTCTACTGAAAGAAAAGAAAAGATAGAAAGGAAGGAAGGAAGGAAGAAGGAACACATCACTATAAAGCAATTATCCTCGGGTTTTAAAAAAAATGCAAAATGAAAGAAAGAAGGGAAAAAGGGAATGAAGGAATAAAGAAAAGAAATACCCCTTTATAAAAACACCTAACTTAAATTTCTCCCTATAGTTCAAATTTAGGTCTTCAGGGTCTTCATTCTTCTCACAAAAATGTTGTAAATCAAAGCAAACTCTCCTTAGAGCAACTGGAAAAAAAAAATTCTTTCTAAAATAACATTTTCCTGTACCTGTTCATGGGAGTTGAGTTCATCATATGTCAAGCATGTCCCAGCCTGTTATTTTTCAAGATGTCTTCAGTATGATCAAGGGACAGGCCTCTAGGGCATCATCTCTGTTCTATACCTGGAAAAAACAATGTACAGAAATTTCCATAAGAGAGGAGATTGACAGTCAATACATAAGACTCAAGAGGCAAGGAAAGCCCGTAGGGTTAATGCACTGCATTCAAATACAGACCTGCCTCGGGGCTCTGAATATCCAGGTCCAGATCTTCGATGGGTGGATAATGCCTGAGGCTTGATACCAGGTCTGATGTCCACGTTTGACATCTATGGCAGACCTTACACCCTCCTGCCTTGTGTTTTGAAAAACTCGAAATCTCTCCTGAGTCCTCACCTACTGACACTGTGACCCACGTGAGAAGTGTCTGAGATTATTTTCCTTGAAACTATAATTCCTTCCGACAACTCCAACACCAGGCAACCCTGATTACTAACTGGTGGATTTAATTTTTCACACTGTGGCAGCAGTGTAGGAAATCTTAGTCAGTCCCTCCAAACCACACACACTGGGTTACTCCCTGAAGAAGACAGTGACACTACAGACACTTGTTGAACACAGAGGACCTCAAAAAGGACCATGAACCCCAAGTATTGCCAGTGTCAGAGTCAAATCCTTCAGTACATTCACCAAAAGTGATCCAGCTGGAAGTGTTCTTTCAGGTTCCCATTAGAGACTAGCAGATTGCCTAGCTGGCAGACATTGTTGCATAACAGCTGTACTTTGGACAGAGCACACTGGTGGACCTTGGAAAATCAGTTGGAAAATCTACCTTTTCCTCAAGCATATGGACCTTCCTGAAACCTGTAAGAGAATGGGGTAGGGTAGGGTGTGTTTTCAGTAGGAGACACATAAAGACCCTCTTAGCACTCGTTTCTAATGTCAGAACATGATAAATGTTGGTCAGAGTACAATGCACAGTTGTCCAGAGGAGGGAGAGATTAGTTTGGTTAAGGAGGATGGGGAAAGGCTCCCTGGTGGAAGTTATAGTTGAACTGACTTAAAGGATGAAGGGTCTTGACCAATGGAGGGACTGGAGAAAGACATGACAAGAAGAGGGTTAGCAGCTTAGGCAATTCAGGAAGGTGGATGGGACTGCGTTTGGAGAAGAGCATCCACTCTTCAGGAATAAGTCAGCACTGGTGGCCAGGTCAGAGCAGTGACTGCTGTGGTGAGATGTGGCCTGATGGGATAAGGTCTTGCAAACCAGGATAAAGGATTTGGATTTTTGTCCTGTGAGAAGTCATAAGAAATCAGAGATACAAAAGAGGCAATGTGCTTGAAAAGTGTTTTAGAAAGATCACTGTGGATGAGAGGATTGGTTCGGAGACCCAAAGCAGTGAGCTCAGATATAAAGTTTGTGTGAAAGCTGAGATGGACAACGGAAAGATCAGGAATAAGCACCTGGAAAGAGAAAGCAGATTCAAGAGACATCAAAAGCAGATGAATGATAAGTGGGAGTCAAGGGAGAGAGAGAGGGCCTCTTAATGCCATCCTGCTTGTACGCTGGAAGATTCTCTAGCTTGTATGTTTCAAGACTTTGTCGTCAGAAATTAATTCTATCTGTTTTTACTATATTAAGACTTAAAGTGTTGATCTTCCTAAGAATATTTTTATTATGTTTCTATGGTCCAAACGACTAATCTCCAATGACAGAATTTCAGAATTTGAAGGTAGGGAGTTTCTGGGCCCTCAAAACTCATTCCATAATTGGCTGCCCACCCTTATTTATGAATTCAGCATGTGAAGGAGCATCCAGCTACTGGACTGAAATCACTTGATTACCGTTATCTTTTCTTCTCTCTATTCAGTTTGGTGTAAGGAGACCTAGATCCAGAGAAAGTCTATCATAAGTTCTTGGCTTCCCTGGCCAGTCAATCAAAGCCCTCTTCCTAGTAAAATGGTTAGGCTATTACATACCTCCCACCACCAAGGGCAATCTTCCCCAGGAGTCTTTGATGAGTCAGTCTAGGGCCATCATACTACACACATGAATCTTCTCAACTAGCTTCACTGTCCCAAATATCATCAGCACTGCTGTGAGGATGCCTGGTCACCCTGTCACACCACCTGTTTTGCTGCAGGCACACCCACAGCCACACCACCAGCCTTCCACCTCTGCGTGTCTGTGTGCATGGCACTTCTGTGTAACCAGCCATCCTGGGATGACTCTCCCCTTATTTCGTTGTGCATTCTCCTATAATCCCTTTAAAATTCTTCAAAAGAGTATCTTGCAGAAAGAGGAATAGTCTTAGGAAAGAGAGAGGGAAAGAGATGAGGGAAGACAGAAGCAGAGGTATGAGTCAAGGCTTTGAGGAAAGCAATAAAAGAGAAAGACTCCAGTGACCTCCATTAGCCCTGGCTCTCAAAATAAGCTTGGCCCTAAAGATAGCTTATTATTTATCCCAAATTAAAATTTCCTAGCTCTGAAGTCACTGGAGACACAGTGAAAAGAAAACCATCACACAAAAGATGCCATTATCCTCACAGCAGGAACAATTGCAACCAATCTGATTCTACTCCAAGAATAGAAAGATAACAGTGCAAAGACAGGAACCTCAAAACTGTGAACTGTCAACAAACAGAACTGTTTCTTGAAGGAAGAATGGTTATAAAGGAAGGTAGGCAGAAAAGGAACCCTCTGGCTCTAAGATGGGGCAGGAATTGCCAGGGAAAGCTCTAGTTTGTGTTCCTCCAGGGTGAACCTACAACCAGCTGTGTTGACTGGGAACAAACCCTGCCCGGATCTGTGCAGACCCCGGAAGCCCCTCAACCTACCCCTGCCCAGCTTCGTGTATATTTCTGAAGTTAAACATCACCACCAGACTTTAAACTTCACGGTGGCAGAAATTTCAACTGGTTTTCGTTTCCACCGCATCCTCAGCACTCAGCAGAAAGCTTGTATACAGCTGGCATTCAATATATCTTTACTGAACAGATGGTTGCCTGATGAATGGATTCCTTTAAAATGAGCAAAGTACTTCTTCCCTTTCTGGCTTCTGAAGAGCAAGTCCCAGAACCAGAACCAGTCAGGAGGGTAGTGCTAGCCTTTGTTCCTTCAGGAAAAGGACTGTTCCTACCTTTCCGCCTCCTTAGGTTCCTGAAGCTCAGAAACAAGGACCCCAGGGATCACGACCCATCAAATGTATTTCAACAAAAGTTTCTCTCCCTGGCTGTTTCCTTTCAGAGACTGAGCCCCCCGGGGGCTGATAAGGAAATGGCGCCATATGCGAAAACGCAGGCCCCTAGTGGCGGAGGGGCACCGAGCTCCTCCAAAGGGGCCCCTTGGATGTCGCCTTTAAACAAATCTGAGTGTGTCTTTCGATAGCGCATGCACCAACCACCCCCTGAAGACCTCTTTCCTTTATGGCTGCAGCAACGAAGCAGCCACATGGTTGTTACAGATAAGGTGGCCTGACTGCCTGCTGCATGCAAAGTAGGCTTCACGGTAAACAGCGCCGGGAGGAACTGCAGCGCTGCCACGTAGCGGCTGCTCTGCGTCGGGCCGCCCTGCCTCTCTAACTGGCTCCCAGGTAAACGGCTGCAATTCTCATTTGCTATCCTTTTTCTCTTTGCCAGATGGTTCCTGTGGGGCCTGAAATTACACAACTTCCAACAGACCTGCCATGATTGGGAGGCATGTGATGTGCCAATGCCTATGTAATATTCCTGGTGGGAAATATAACTCTGATATCTGCAGAGACTAACAAAGGCTCACTCATGCCTACCATGCCTTTCAAGGCACCCTGGTATTGGAGCCTTACCAGTTGTTTGTAGACAGAGAGCTATCCTCCAGGACCTTAACCATTAGGCACGAGGAACCAAGAGACAAAGCCATTTACTGCCAGCTCTACAGGTACCATGAGACACCCTTAACATCACACAGGACAAAGGCTGAATGCCTCAAGCAAGCTCAACACAGAAAATTCAGAGGGCATCCACCAAGACAGAGGATGTTCAGGGTCATCTTAAACTCCCTCCACTCGTTCATCGATTCATTCATTCAAAACCAAAGGACCCTCATGGTTTAGAAATCAATATCCTAAGTGCTATGGGAATACAAAGATACAAAACAAGCACTTCTCAAATAATAAAATGTATTCAGCAGTTAACACCTCCTCACATTTATCTTGCTAAACCAGAAGTGAAAATTAAATCCTGTTGAATTACTTGCATCTTTGACCTGACACATAAAAGCACAGTCCCCGATACCCAGAGCGACAAACGAATTGGACACAATAAAAAAAAATCAAACCCAACAATTAACATCTTAATCAGAGACCCTTGGAAACCTAACATTTCTAACAGCCTGAAAGATTTTAAGCATCTACATATACATATGTAAAATATTAGTACATTAAATAAATAATCAATAGATAATAGATAGAAAGGTACATGTGAAGAGTCGGTAGCATAGTAGCAATGATTGAGCTCACCTTCAGACTTGGAAGCCAGACTTGCTGAATTTTGGATCCCAATCTTCCACTTAGTGAGTCACTAGCTATATGACCTTGGGCAAGTTACTTTATGCCTTGCTTCTCTCAGTTATAAAATAATTATAATAATAATACTTACCTTAGAGGACTGTTGCAAGAGTTAAGTGAATTATTACATGTAATGCACTTAGAGTGTCACTTGGCACAGAAGAAACACAGGAAGTTTTAGCTGCTATTGCTGTGGATGGTGATGAGATCATGATGGTGATTATCACTACATATCTGCATCCCTGTATTGGGCTGGCCTAGGCCCTTAGCAACTTGATAAAGAATAAGTCAATCTCTTGGACAATTAAGCATTTTTTTAATATTAGCATCCCATCTAATAAAAGCTAAATATGAGTGGGAATTCACAGAAATACAATTCAAAAGACTTTCAGGACCTTTTTTACTGGATGCTGATCAATTATTACAGGCTTCCTATATAGAAAAAAGTAAAATCAGCAGAAAGTAAGACATTATGAGATATTCAAATGAAACAGTAGCCTGACCCATTAAATGGATAGTGGAATAATTTATATATGTAGAGCCAGAAAAAAAGTTAAAGTTGCTTATGAACATAATCATAAATAAGGAATTAGTTCTTTCAACATCATAAGGAATATTACATGACCTGAAAATGTTCCTATGTCCAAAGAAATTATAAATTAAGTCAAAGTACACCTGACTCTATGGCATCCTAAAATAACTGTCAAGTGAAGATCATACCATGATTCCAGAAGTGCATAATCTCTACAAAGACACACTCACATTGGCCTCTGTTTATTCATGGAACCACCCATGAAAACTCCTGGGTGTGAACTGCTGAGCTAAGAACTTGAAATAAACAGGCTTGTCTTCTCTATTTTCTTTTCTGAAGATGCAGGATCTCCTGCGACTGCAGATCTTGCTTTTATTCATCAGTGGAAACACTAATCCCCTGCTGTTTTGCTGGCTTTCTCATTTGCAGCCAGCATATGGGCTCATCAGCATCAGTGCCCCCAAGAGCAGTCCTTCAAGTGCACAGAATCACACAAAACAAGAGGCTTTTCTTGGGATAAAAGAATTAGAGAAGGACCCTTTGCAAAATTTGGCTTTGGAAATCTGATGTCAAAGTCTTAACCCTGATGGGACAGGCCCAGACTGACACAGTGGTGAGCGAGTGAGTCACTTTCTTTCCGGGTTTTCTCTTCCCCAGGGGTACCTTGGGGTTATTTTTAACACAGCCCCCGAATTGCTGAATGCTTACGCAGAAAATTCTGGTTTCCTAAAGGACACTGACAACTCTAGGAACCCTCCTGTATTTTCAACCAGTAAAAATCAGTTCAGTCAACTCTCCCTAAAGCAACCAAAATTCAAAGGCCATGAAATAATGAAATAGATTCTTTGTGACTCTGTCACAAAGATCTCTGATTATACCACGCTAACAGTCTCAGTAAGAGAAATAACTGTTCTTCCTTTTCCACTACCATCAGAGGGAGAGGAAGTTTGGATACAGTAGAAGAAAGTTATTAGAGAATGAGGCATTGACTGGAGAACACTGCCCAAGGGTGGGTTTCCTGGTCGCTTCCTGTAGGGACCAAATGAAAACTGTGATGGAGCTCATGGTATGCTTGAGCGCATCTGTCCCAACCACCTCATCATCTCACTGGAAGCCCTCTAATCTCCCTACGTGATCCTGGAAGAAAAGGTGAACAAGAAGATAAAGCCATTTAATAAATGCTCATCAAGTATCCATAAGTCTCAGACTATAGAATTGGAGAGGTTCATTTTTTTAATTCAACAATATATGCTGAGTGTCTACTCAATATGCCAGACACCATCTCAAGAGCCAAGGATACCAAGGCAGGTAACACAAGCTTTCTACCATTCTGGAGTTCACGCTGTAGTGGGGCTTGTAACCTAACAGAGGAACGGAGTCAGACACATGTGAAAACAAGACAAGTGCCTGGTTGTGATGATTATGGGAGATTTCCAGAAGGAAGGCACAGACTGGAATTAAGACCTCTAGATTTCAGGATGCGCTGGGTGATGAGAGCCTGGAAAATATCTTAAAGGAGCTGAGCTGAGACTAAATACAGAAAAGTTTTTTTATTTACATCACAAGGTCTCAAGTCAGCGACAGAAGCAGGATTACAACTGTAACACGTCCCCACTTGCCTCCATGCTGTTTTGCTTCACAGCTGCTTCATTCAGTGCCGTGCAGCTGGGTAACTGAGTCGCAGATGGAATACTGGCAGCCAAAATCTTTTTAGAGACAAATGACACTGTGATTTTCCTTGACACCCATTGAAATTCCGCACTAATTTCCAAAAATATCTAATGTTTGCTTTAAAACAACCAGTGGGGCCCAGACATTTCAGGAAAAACAAATCAGAGAAACAGAGTAATTTCAGCCATCTGAGCGTTCTGAGCCCAGATCAATCAGATGGGCAAAAGCCACTTACTTACTGAAGGCCGTCCTGGGATACCAGGCAGCTGAGATCAAACCAAGAGAGACAGAAATGCAGCTTCCACTCCCTTCATTCACCTCCATTTCTGTTCTTCGGTTGCTTGTCCAACCACCAATGCCAGAGCAGAGAAACAGCAGCTAGAAACAGGCCAAACAGCAGTTAACTGCCATACCTAGATGAAGACGAATCATGGGCAAACATCAGAGTCTGACTTCACTGTTAAAAGTGCTTAACGTGAGATGTTTGAGACTAATGAGCAAGAGAAAGGAAAGGGATTTCCTTCACTAAATTTATCTCCTTTTTATCCCAAAGAACTCAAAGCAGGTGAGAGTAGATGAGCTCTCAAATCAAAGCTAAAGTAGGTCTTAAAGCTTCCAATTATAGAGAAAATCAAAGTTTTGGCACTCTTCCACTGATATTCAAGTCACCCAGTGGATATTTGATACTGAAGACTCAGAGGGGCAGAGACCATCAGAGAGAATGGTGCTAGTAGCCAGTATGGGTTGATTTGATCTGACCCTGGGGTCTTTTTGCTTCTTCAGTCCCCCTATTGTTTCTTCATCCCAATTGGACAAAGATAACTGGGACTCTAGCTCATATGTGGCTTCCATCCTTAGCTGCAAGAGATGATCCTTTGCCTACGGACACAGAAGTTATTGGTTCTGCTCCTTCAATTCTGTGTGTGTTAGTTGCTCAGTCATGTCTAATTCTTTGTGACTTCATGGACTGTAGTTCACCAGGCTCCTCTGTCCATGGCATTTTCCAGGCAAGAATACTGGAGTGGGTTGCCATTCTTTTCTCCAGGGGGTCTTCCCAACCCAGGAATTGAACCTGGGCCTCCTGCATCACAGACAGATTCTTTACCATCTGAGCCACCTGGGAAACCTTCAGCTCTGATGCACTGCAACTCTGATGTGGCTCTATTCATTTCATCCATCTAACCTGCTCAACTTACCTGATCACAGTCCTAAGGACATAGTTCAGCTTCCCTGCTTCTCCCACAGGAATATTCTGTCAGGCTTGGAATGAGAAGCTCTGTATCTCTCCTGGTGACTATGGCTCAGGAAGGGACATCTGACTACGTCAGTAACCCAACCATGGCAAAGCAGAAGAGATGAGGCAAAGAAACCAACATCTTTGGTGGCCTACCACTGTGTGCTGGGCGTGGGGATGAGTGTCACATGTGTGTTCTCTCATTCCAACCTACAACATCCCTACAAGGTAGTCACTCTACTTGCAGATGATGAAATCAAGATTCAGATATATAGCTTGCCCAGCTACTGGCAAGTTGCAAAGCAAGACTCAAAACTTAGAGCTCTAAGACTTGCCGAGCTGGTGTTCTTTTTATGGGTAGTGACATCACCTAAGCACCAATGGTGATGTCAGAATGTTAGCCACAAGCAATTCCAAGCAGACTCTTGGATAGGAGCTATCCTGCTGCTGCAGAATACCTCACTACTCCCCTCACCTACAACATGGGCAGACCTGGCTTCCCCAACTTTGGGCTTGGGTTGTTGGCAAATCCTCCCCTAATCTCAGACATCACTTAGATGAGCAGCCCACCAGTCTCCTTGAGAGTCAGGAGGACCCACAGAGATCTCCTGATTGGATCAGCAGGTATGTTAAGTTTCTCATATTGATAAGCTCTCTGCTGGACACTGAGAATGCAAATACAAAGATGCTATCTTTGTCCTAAAGAATCTTAAAGTCCAATGCAGAAAACCAACAAATTATCAAATAGTTATAATAAAGGTGATAAGTGCCATGACCCAACAAGTTCAAGTAGCCCTGGGGGACACCTCCCCTGGGTGAGGTGGGAGTGGAGAAGGAAGGTACAGTTTTTTCAGGAAGAAAGAGCATCCACTGCAAAAACTGGGCATGTGAGGACTAAAATACATTTTCAAGCCTGCAAGTCCTTTTTGTGCAGCGGAAGTACTAAGTTCAAGCGGACGAGTGGCCCAAAGTGAGACTGGAGAGGGAAGAAGAACAGGAGATCATGTGGCCATGACATAGGGCCTTCACATTCCCCTAAAAGCTAAGGGGAGTAAATAGGAGTTTCAGCAGAGGTGTGACCTGGTCCCCTTTGGTCTGAACAAAAAATTTGTGTGAGGCCTGCATGGAGAAGGGATGAAACAGGGAAGGATTCTGGAAGCAGGAAGGCCTTTTGGATAGTAGTGTAATTGCTGTCAACCGGGGAAGAAAGCTTTGCCTGGGGCAGAGGTGGCTATGAGCAGAGGGGAAATTGGGAGCTGTACAGATTGTGAGTGGAGGCGGGACAACAACTGGCAGACCGGCTAGCTCCTGCCCGCACCGCCCTTTCTGCCTCCAGCTCCTGGAAATGCTCTCCTGACAGAGCCTCCTCCCAACTCTCCGGGCTCAGTTCACAGTTACCCCTTCTGAGTATCCCAAGCAGAAGCAGCTCTTTTTCTGTGCTCCTGGAGTGCTTTGGATCCACCTTTAAAAAAAAAAATAGCATTTCACACTCTTTTGCAATTGCTCTGTGTCTGTCTCCCCAAAACCTGAGCGCTGTCAAGGTAGAACTTTACATCCTTATGTCAGAAGTTTGCTCTTACATCTCCCAAGTAGTACCTGACCTGTGATATCATTAGCCCATGTTTGTTGAATAAACAGCCTAACCTGTGGCCTTGCAAGCCTGTCACTCTCTCTCTAAGGAAGTGGCTAACCCCCAGCCACCCTTACAACGGACAAAACGTCCCATGGCTAGACAGCAGCTGATCTGGGCAGGGACAGGCAGGCGACCAGCACACCTCAAAGTCATCCCTATAAAGCCATGCTGTGGACCTGTGCCCTCTTCCACCTGGCCATCTGCTGGGCAGGTAAGGACAAGCTGATGGGCCTTTTATTCTTCAGGAAAGTCAGGAACAGTTTGCTGGGGTCAAAGGGAGAGCGTTGCTGACCCTGACTCTGACACTCCTCCCCGTGGGACGGAGGGACTTCTCTGAGGCCTCTCTAAGTCAGGGCTTTCCCTTTCAGGGGTCTCTTTGGATGTAATTTTGGAATCAGAGACCAAAACTCTGACTGTCCTCCTTGGGGAGCCTGCCACCTTCCGTTGCAACGTAACTGGAGGGAACTGGAAGAACTATCAGATGAGTTGGTATAAGAGGAATGAGAATAACGTCTTAACTTTAGTATACAGACTAAGCAATAATTCTAATGAAAATGTAAGGGGTAATTTCAAAGGGAAAATTGATACTTCAAAAAATCAATATGTATTCAACATTCAAAAAGCAACAATAAAAGATGTTGGAACTTACTACTGTGGATCCGACATCCACAGTGCTACAGTCCTGATTCCGATCGCCTCAGATCTCCCCGAGTCAAACCAAGGCAGCAGATCCAACAAGAGACCATCTTTGGCTAAAATGAGCACCACCCCTGAGGTGAGACCACTTTGTAACCTCAACAGGAACATCTGATAAGAGAGTCAGGAGTTGAGCTGGGGCCTTATCTTTGTAGTTGATGGAGAGGAACTTTCTTTATCAGCCAAAGTGGGCAGAAAGGTCTGTTAGGGTTTGTACAGGGAGACCAAGGGGACCCTGCTTCTCTCTCACAGACTCCTGAGAAAAGGCTGGGGGTGAAAAAAACAGCTTTCAATACTGAGAAATTCCTCTCATTGTGGAGAGGCTGAGATGAACATATTTCTTCTCTAGGGAGTGCTTGCTGTAGCTCATCCCAGAGTCTTTATCATGAAAGCCTTTGTGTGCATAAACCAGATAAAGCAATGATGGTTTTCCATTACCATCCTAATCAAAATTTCCAAAGCTATTAGAGATAGCTTTAACTCCTAGTCTGTGATGAAGGATGACTACAGTCATTTCTGAGAGCTCCCTAACTATTTCAGGTAGTGAATGTTTTATATCTTCCCTTAGCGACAGAGGAGCCCAGGGGACCCATGGGGAATGCAGGGAGGGATAACACATGGCCTTCTGTTATGTGGGTTGCCAAGAGAGACTTTGGAGACAAATATTTGTGGCAATGAGAGATTTCTGAAGTGGTCATAAATCAACTGAATTAAAAAAAAAATAGATCCCTGAGTCACAAGTTGAAATGGAGGAGACTGAAGTATCTGGAACTAGAGGAAGTCAAGGCCTGGAGGCACCACGGAGCAAACTGATGGGCAGGAGGGCTTAAAGACACAAAGATTTCATAATCATCAAGGGAGTGCTTTCATCCTATTGGCCTTAATAGCCATCTCTTTGTTTTTCTGCTCAAGTATCTATCTGTCTGGAATCCTCTGTATACATAATGTTAAAAGTCAGGCAATAGGATACAGAGTAGATGTGAAGGTGAAAACTACAACTTTCCTCACGCCTTCTTCCCAATATTCTTTCCAATGTTACCTTCATCACACATTTAGTTACAGGGCACTTACTGTGTTTATAATATTGGTATAGGTCATGGGAATAGAAAGAGTTCTGTGTTAACTTCTACTTTAAGTTGTATTCTCATCAGTGGATTTATAGCATTTTAAAAGACATCATTATAAATTAAAACTAGAGAGATGAATAAATGATTAAAAAAATCCTAGCAAGTACAATCTAACAGTTAATGCTGCTACTTCACATGCAGTGTTCCACGAGTTCATGAAAGGACAATCAGTATGAGAAAAGTTTCCTAGGACAGCTAAGGTTTGAACGAGTTGGGACTTGGATAAGTGGGAAGGAGGAAGGATATTTCAAGGCGAGTGCACTGGGTATCTACCTTTATATAATGAATTACCACAACACTTGGAAAAGTTCAAAGCATTTATTATCTCACAAGAATCCAGGTGTGTCTTAGCTGGGTCCTCCAGGGTCTCTCATCAGGCTGCGGTCATCTCAAGCATCGGCTGGAAGAGAATCCACTTTCAGGTTCACTCTTGTGAATGTTGGCAGAACTTGAGTCCTCATGTAGACTCCTCCACAGGTTCCATCATAGCATGGTACTTACTTCCCTACAGCAAAGGAGAGAGAGCATCCAAGATGGAAGGCACAGTCTTTTGGAAACAATCTTAGCAGCAGCATTCCATTGCATCTGCCAAATATCATTTAGTAGAAATGAGTCAGTAAGTGCAGCCCATACTCGAAGGAAGGAGATTATGTGAGAGCATGAATGAATACCAGGAGGTAGGGCTCATTGGGGGCTGCATCAGAGGCTTCCTCCCACCAGGGATTAATGCCATAGAGCTGGGAAAGAGAGAGCGAAAGCTCTGCTTGAGACCAACTTGTTTAAACCCTCCTGGCTACACGACCAAAGAGATTTGATTTTATCTTATAAGCCAGATTTTCTCAAACTTTATTGTGTAGGCAAAGTACTAAGAGAGATTGTTTCCAATCCAATTCTGACCCCAATCTACAAAGATTCTAATTCAGCGTATCTGGGGGCAGGCCTAGGAACATGTATTTATAACAAAGACCCTGCACAATTATGATGCAGGTGGTCCAAGGACATGTCTGAGAAATTCTGATATAAGCAGAAAAAGAACTGTTGGATATATCCAAGTTCTTCTGCCCCGATGACAGAGAAATGGGCATTAGATATGATCAAAGAATCTCTTGAAAAACAGTTTTTAATTCCAACTGCATATTTGACTTACTTGGGAAACTCTTTGAATATACCAATGTCTGGAATATATCTGGAGATTTTGATTGCATTGGTGTGAGCATAGAACTCTAGCTCCCAGGTACTTCAGCCTCCCTTCCCTGTCCTCTTCTCTTCCCCTCTCTGGTCTAAGACCTCCTGTTCTAAATCTGGTCTCTGGACCAACATCATCAGCATCACCTAGAGGTTTGTCAGAATGTAGAATCTCAGGTCCACCCTAGGTCTACTGAATCAGAATTTTCATTTTATTAAGATTCCCTAGACGAATTATAGGCATATTAAGGTTTGAGAACCACTGGTCTAAGGAACCCGTCATTATTGAAAAATTTCATGGAGACATATAAATCAATTTTTCACTAATGTCACCCAAGAATCTATTTTTGTAAAAAGCTCCTGAAGGGACTCTGATGTGCAGCCAGGTGTGAGACTCACAATAAGCAATCAGTCATCCTCAAATCAGGTTACAGATTATTTGTGTAACTAATATAATAAATGGTCTCATTGAGGTGCTATTGTGTCCTTGTATGGTCCTTGGAAGAAGGCATTACATAAATTCTAGGTATGACCATTTCTCATTTATCCACAAGCAGATAAGGAAATGAATTAATATTTATTGAGTCAGTGTACTCTTTAACACACCATGTGACCTTCCTGGATTATCTATTGCAACCCAGGACCTTGTGTTACACACCTTCAACTCAAAATCAAATCAGAAAAAAAATAAATTTAAAAAAACACATGAATCATTAGTGTCTGATTAAGTCTGATGGGGAAGAAAAGGGATGGAAGATAAGACCACGTGTCTCCAGTTGTCCGTTCCTCCTGCAGGATGGACAAAAACGTGAAGTTCTGGCCCATATTGGGATGAGATAACTCAGAACCTGAAACGGGAATGGGGTGAGCATGGAAAACAGCCTGGAGCCAAGGAAAAGGGACATTTGAGGGGAAAGCAAGCAGACTGCCCAGTAACAATCTGAGAGAGTCTGGGCACGAAACAATGAAAAAAGAAATCAGACAAGAATTAAAAGTAAAGGCCTGGAGAAATCCCTGAACTTACCAGGAGGCAGATAAGAAAGCCTTTTACGTAATACTTGAAGCCTCAGACGTGGGTGGAGATAGGGCCACCAAAAGCTCTAATATAGTATGAGCATGGACCAAGTGTTTCTGCAGAAATCCAAGAGCCAAATGAGTGATATGAATGTCAGCAAATATTTTTGTATTGTCCTAGTTCTTCCCTACTGCATTGGTAGAGGTGATTGAGGGTTGAATAAATTTATTTTATTGTTATCCCTATTATCCTGCTTTCTTTGATTGTTATCCAGCATGAAAATGGCTCTCTTGAAAGAGTTCAGAACAGTAAAGAGAAATCCCAGAGTGTCTGAAAAAATCTCTGAGGTCAACTGTCAGGGGGTGACAATAAGCATGCCACTTCTACCAGGTTCCCAAGCAAAAGAGTCCCTGGGCATCCTGTGTGGCTAGAAATGAAGGCTATGATGGCTCAAAAGGTGCATGAAGTTACCATGTAAGAAAGAGAAAAAAAAGAAGGTACCTTATGTCCAAGAACAGTGGCATCCATTGGCTGCACTTACAAACAAGTCATTCAATATCCTGAAACCATAGTATGGAGTAAGAGGCAAGAGGGGAAAAAAAGAAAATCAGAGTACACTTCTTCCTCTGCATCAAACCAAGGAAGAGAATGTCATTTCTATCATGAGGTGTCACAACCTTAGAGAAATGACTCATTACAGAATCCTGAATGTGCCCAGGGAAGATATAGGAAGGGGCCGAGTGAGGAAATGGACTCAAGGAAATCCAAGATGTGACCTTCATCCTAAACAATTAAGAGTTTAAACAGAAAATTAGAATCGTTGAATTTGAAAGCCAGAAGGGATCTTAAAGGTCAAGTAGGAATCTCTCCATTCAATTTACATGTTCATTAAATATTGATTGAGTAAATGATCTTTCAGTCTCAAATATTTTCAATGATAGTCCTTACATTAAAAAATCACTTCTTATTGCAGATCAAAGTCTGCCTCCCTGTAACTTTATTATGTTGGTGTTTGTTACACATTGTGAAGCATAGCACACTAAGTTCAACCCTCGTATTTTCAACTATTTGAAGACAGCTATCACATCCAACCTCCAAATCCTCGTTTCTTAATACCAAATACTCTCAACCATTCCTCATTACTGTCTCATACATTCTGAACTCTTTCAAGAAAAGAATCCAAGTTCAATATAGTTTTCTGTTCCATACAGTTCTCAATACAATGACTACCATATAGTGAGTAGTTAATAAATACGAGTTGACTGTGAATACATGAAGTATGTATTCACCTGTTATGTATTAATTCTATGTATACTGATTGTTTAGCATATCCATGTAGATGCTTCAAAATTACCTCAGCAGAACTCCAAGACTTAGGTCAAGAACTTGTCTTTAAATATGATCCTTTCCCAAGGTTTCCTATGTTACATATCATCTCAAATCCATACACTTCTTTTCATCCTCCACCACTAACACCTGGATCCAAACTACCATTTTCTCTTGAAATGTTTCATCAGCCTTTTGAACAAGCTACCTGGTCTCTGGGACCTTTCAATATATCCTCCCTACAGCCAATGTGATCCATTCAAAATACGATCACAGTCATGTCAGATCCCTGATTTAAAATCCTCTAAATTACTTCCCATTGCTTATTAGCAAAAGACCAAAATCCTTAAAGAGACCTCTAAGATTCTGCACAATTTGACCTCTTCTAATCTCCACTTCCAGTACCTCTCACCTTCTCTCCTTCCATTTTTCATGCTCCTGTCAAAGAGGTCTTCCTCCAGTTGCTTAAATGCACCAGGTATCCTTCCACTCCAGGACATTTGCACATAGTGTTTCCTCCTTATGGAATACTTCTTCTGTTTCCTCATCACTTATTTAACTCCTATTCATCTTTTGGATTGAAGTTTACACATCAGTTCTTCATATGTGTCGAGATGTCCCAGCAAGTTCAGATTTGGGGTTTTAAGTATGCATTCATATTTCTGTCTGCAATATATTTCACTAATTGAGTTAATGTTTAGTTTCTCATTAGTTTGAAAGCTCTGAGACACCAAGGAATCTATCTGCTCTTGCTTATCTTAAACCTGACAAATTGCAAAAATAAATTTCTATGAATAATTGGATGACTCTCCTAGATTCCACAATTTCCCAAAATTTGATGATCATCACTGACTCTGGGCTGCAGGTAGGTCCTAAGCCTTGCTATATTCTCACTTTGGGGTGATCTTGAAGTCTCCAGAGTCACCCTGTGCTACAGACCAAGTGTTCTCAGAAACCAGTGATTTCCATCCTTTCTCTAGTTGTCTGACGTACTCAAGAGCCTATTTCAGGGCACACTGGACAACTGAGATGGTCAGAGGATCTATCCTCTGTAGATTTGAGCCAGTTCCTACACAGGGACCTGGGACAGGTAAGCAAAACCTGTCCAGAGAAACTGGCCAGCTATGAGAAATCAGAAGGGCCAATATGATTATGAAGATGATTATCTTCTCAGTGACTCCTGGCTGGGCTTCTAATGAGCCTTTTTGGTGTTTTGGATTTCGGATGGGTATTTTCAGTAGCTATATTATTAAAATACACAAGACTATAATTACAGGGATGGATACCCTCATCCCTCAAACATGTACTGAGCACGCACAATATTCCTGGTGCCGTGCCACATGCTGAGCATTAGAAACCACTAAGGCTCAATTCCTGTCCTCAAGGTGCTCTTCCTAGTGGGAGAAACAGACAAGAAATTAAAGACATTAACAGAGGAAGGAGCACACAGCTGTGAGAACATAGAGAGGGAAGTGATGGCCTAGAGTTGGGGACGGGTTCTCATAGGAAGTGAGGTGAGCTCCTAACAGAGGAAACACTACTTCTTTGAAGCAATATATGCTTGGAAGATGACCAAGATGACCTGAAGATGATCCAGGAAGAAAGATGAAAATCCTTGATAGCTAAGTATATATATATGCATGCACGTGCACGTGCGCGCACACACACGTACCTTTGGCTGTATGATATCTACAGTTTAAACAAACAAACAAATACTGAAAACAGATGGAAATTTACTGAACTTAGGCTAGACACAATCAGTCTCTTTGTGGGAAAGCTAATGTCTATCAGAGCTTTCACAGGGGCTCTTTAACCACAGATGCAGCAAATTCCCTGCCAAGCAAAGCTTAGAGATTTCCAAAGTACTTTCCTTCATTCAGTTTGAAATATTGAGATTTCCTCTTAGATATGTCAGCATCTGTAGTCTACACTAAGTCTACAAATCTCTACCTAAGCTGATGGAGTCGTCTCATTTTATAGAGTTGTTTCTCGCCAGAGCAAAAGTCTAACTTTTCTCCAGTGAAGTATAAAAAATTCAGCTACAAACTGAGCCACTGTGTTTTCTGCTTCTTCTCCAGGATGGTCTCTTCTGGGAACTCTGGAAAGAAACTCATATTTATAGCAACCTTCCATATTTTCCTCTTTGTATTTGTCAACTCTGCTACAGTAACAAACAGCACCAATATGTCAATAGCTTAAACATTTTTTCTGTTATTCTTACTTTTACAACAAGTTGGTGGCTTCAAGATGCCTTCTAAGCTCTGCTCCCTGCATCTTCTCATTCCAGAATCCAAACTGAAAGATAACTCACTATTTGGGACACACTGTTCTCATGACAGAGGAAGAAGAACAAAAGAGCTGCTGGCAGAAACTCAGAGTGCTCCTCAGAGCATTTGCCAGGATATGACATACATTATGTCCACCCATGTCCATGTCCACCATGTTCAAAGCCTTTGGGCCACACTCAAACTCAGCTGGGCAGGAAGTTGTACCCCTCCCTCAGAAGGCACCATAGGAAATGAAGCAACCGGCAGGAATTGATCATCTTTTTCCAATAAAAGGGAGGATCAAATACTTGTGAATTTAAGTGAATACAATAATGATGATACAACCTACCACACCCTTTGACTCCATCCATGTCATTTGTATCCAACATGGAAACATTTTCCCACATCAATTAAAAAGGATTTTGACATATATATACCTATGGCTGATTCATGTTGATGTTTGGCAGTAACCAATAAAATTCTGTAAAGCAATTATCCTTCAATTAAAAAATAAATAATTAAAAAAAATGAATTTGATATTTTTTTCTTCTTAGAAAAACTCAGAGACCACACTTGCCAAATTGTTCTTCAGAATGTCACTATCCCTCAAGATGTTAATGGTTATTAAGCAATTAAAAAGAATCCCATAGTCAAATAAGTTTGGCAAATGCTCTACCTTAATAGATCTCTATTAGCATTCACAATTATTTCTTAGCATATTATGTGCTTTGAGAACTCCTACTGTAAAGACGCCTACGTAGCCAGAACCAGATTCAGAGAATGCTTTCTATAATGGCACAACCATTAATATTTCATGAGATTCTAGTGGGCTTCCTGATAGCTCATTTGGTAAAGAATCTGCCTGCAATGCAGGAGACCCCGGTTCATTTCCTGGATCAGGAACATCACCTGGAGAAGGGATAGGCTACACACTCCAGTATTCTTGGGCTTCTGTTGTGGCTCAGATAGTAAAGAATCCGCCTGCAATGCAGGAGACCTGGGTTCGATCCCTGGGTTGGGAAGATCACCTGGAGAAGGGAAAGGCTAGTGGCTAACACTGCTCTCAAAGATTATGAGAGAATCACCCAGTGGATTCTTACTGTTTTCTTATTCCTGGGCATCCAGATTGAAGGACTAGTGATGATGAAAGGGGTTTTGCCTGAAGCCAGTGGCTCTGTACAGGCCTCCAAAAGGAGGCCTGCATTCTTGCTAAAATCTGACTCCATGTTAGGAATATGAAGATGCTATTCAGATACTATTTTTTTGCCTGCCTAAGCACACACACCTTCAGTTCAGTTCAGTTCAGTCACTCAGTCGTGTCCAACTCTGCAACCCCATGAATTGCAGCACGCCAGGCCTCCCTGTCCATCACAAATTCCTGGAGTTTACTTAAGCTCAAGCCTATCGAGTCAGTGATGCCATCCAGCCATATCATACTCTGTTGTCCCCTTCTCCTCCTACTCCCAATCCCTCCCAGCATCAGGGTCTTTTCCAATGAGTCAACTCTTCACATGAGGTAGCCAAAGTATTGGAGTTTCAGCTTCAGCATCAGTCCTTCCAATGAATACCCAGGACTGATCTCCTTCAGGATGGACTGGTTGGATCTCCTTGCAGTCCAAAGGACTCTCAAGAGTCTTCTCCAACACCACAGTTCTAAAGCACCAATTTTTCAGCACTCAGCTTTCTTCACAGTCCAACTATCACATCCATACATCACCACTGGAAAAACTGTAGCCTTGACCAGATGGACCTTTGCTGGCAAAGTAATGTCTCTGCTTTTTAATTTAATTTCTTTTTTTTTCCATTTATTTTTATTAGTTGGAGGCTAATTACTTTACAATATTGTAGTGGTTTTTGTTATACATTGACATGAATCAGCCATGAATTTACATATGTTCCCCATCCCGATCCCCCCTACCACCTCCCTCTCCACCCGATTCCTCTGGGTCTTCCCAGTGCACCAGCCCTGAGCACTTGTCTCATGCATCCAGCCTGGGCTGGTGACCTGTTTCACCCTAGATAATATACATGGTTTGATGCTGTTCTCTCGAAACATCCCACCCTCGCCTTCTCCCACAGAGTCCAAAAGTCCGTTCTGTACATCTGTGTCTCTTTTTCTGTTTTGCATATAGGGTTATCGTTACCATCTTTCTAAA